GTTGGTAGAGAATCACCCCAAGAGAATCAGTTGTGAAGCGGTGCGCAATGTGGGAAATTCCGAATGGAAAATGCTCAAGTGATGATGACACTAGGCCAACGCTTGACACGTCTAAGATACACGCACTATTTTTCGAAGCGGGTTCGGTAAACAAATAATGATAATAAAACTTTGAACTTGTCTTAATAACGGACAACAATATCCGCTTATGTTGACCCGCGCAAAACTCTTCTTGTTTTTTCCCAACTGGTTGTTTTCTCGTTGAACAATCTCGCTAATTACGTCGGAGATATAATTTCGAAAGAAAGAAAGAACAAATATTATGGAAAAATGCATATTTATTTTATAAATGTTGTTCCATGTATTTTCCGTCCTGCTGCTTGCATAGCCAAATACGGCGAAGATAGTTTTCTTCCACCTTCAGAATGGTAGCATTTGGAATACTTTCGCACTGCGCCACAATACTCTGTTTAAGCTCCTTGATCGTTCTCGGTTTTGGGGAATAAACTGTTCGCCACAGAAAGAAATCCTAGGGGAACAGATCAGGTGACCTTGGAGGCGATCCCTTTGATCCTCCTCGAACAATCCGTCAGATCCGGGTGTGGCTCACCAGAAAGTAAAGTAGAAAAATAACATCCTGCCGTTTGAATAAGTTCAGAATAACAGAACGATATGTGGACCATCTGACGAGTGCATCAAGTCCCTTTTAAAACTTCAGAGTATTCATTAGACTTGACAGGTTACGTCCAAGTAATATATCAGCGGCAAAGGTACATCTGATGAAGGTGAAAAGAATTGGAAGTTCGTTGATATATGATGAAAAGATAAACAGGCAATCGATTAATCACACCTTGTAGCAACTCAGACCATACCTTTTCGACTCCAAATGAATCCGTTCTAACTTCAAGTGAATGCAACCAATCGCATTCCAATGGGAACCCCACAAGGTGATTATTGTTTCGACCGTCAAACATCACCGATTGGACCGGGTCTGTCTAAGCTCCGTACAGACCGAATGAACGCACTTCTCCGGAAACACATGAAAGTCATGCTTGTATGTCGATTATGAAAAGTTCAGTAGCCTCGGTGGAATTCAAACCCGCGCATGGACACCGCCTACGCTTTATACGCTTTGTCACGTTTGATTGAGTTACCAAGTGAGGGTGAAATTTTCCCTAGGGTGGAGTAGGCTATTCGTACCCCCCTGTCCGTACCCCCCGACCCACCCTGAAACGTTATATCCGTGATCGTTGATTGACTGTGCGTCACAGACGCGAATAAGCAAACCCGGCGGTAATTGACCTCTGTTGATCGGGTAAGGAGGCGATTCATGTCAAGATTGTTCGACAAATCCTTTACCATGTCCAGACGTGAAACTGGGGTTGAATCATTACATGAGTGCATTCAGTCTAGGCCACCAATAACTCAATACGGAGATTCCATCGAGGCCGAGTTTCTCTCAACTAACACCGATCCCTTTAAACCAAATGCAATCGGCTCCATATTGCTAGCATTGGAATACACACATGATAAGATACTTAACAACGATGCAGAGATACAGTGAAAGAATTAACAGTATTTCACCTGAATAGTAAGTCAAATTCGAACCTATTCACTAGCTAACAGAAATCATATTTTTCTCTGTCATTCCCGGTTTGACTGTTACATTCGATCCACAATGTCAATTGCAATATCCTGTCAACTACAGCTTCTTCCTTCGTTACTCAGCTTCATTGCATATGTTCTTAGCTTTTATGTACCATTGATCAACCCGTCGCACATTTTCACATCCTGATGGAATCCTGAAATTTTCAGCCTATGTTTGTCATCCGGAATGATCCCCGATTGTTGGAGGTCAACCCGAATCAGATCAATCCCAAAGAACAGGATCGCCAAAGTACCATTCCTTTTATTGTTCTCTGTGTATATACAAAATCTCTCCATTAGCAGTAACTTTATTACCTACAATTATTTGGATGATATTGTGATTGGCTAAACATCTCCTATTTCAGACAGTTTTGACCTCTTCAGAACAGCCTTAATGCAATTCACGATTGGTCTGTGACCCGATCCCTTTTACTTAACATCAGTAAGCGCATTCAAGTTGCATTTAGTCTCAACACCGGTCCCCGTTATCTCTCACTAGTATAAATATTCTCTCCGATCTTTGAGCTAACAATCAAAGCATTCCTAAATCTGTATCTGTTAATACCTTGGTGGTACCCTAGCCCATAATCTGTACTGGTCTGCTCATGTCATCAAGGATTTCACCAAAGTTCGAAAATTGTCTGATTGTGTTTACAAGCTCACGGAAGCCCTGTGGAATCCCCGAACTGGCTTCAAATATCAACTGCTTCCTGCGCGTACTGCCACATATAGAATCAGAGTAATTCAATGTGTTATTTGGCTATTGGCTAACCGTCAAAATATTCTTACCCACCTCAGGTTGAATATCTTGCGCTATTTTTTTCCCTCACGGACTAAAAAGTAGACTTTTAGATAGTGTTCCATTTCGCCTGTTCCCCGAGATTGGCAATTTGTGTGCAAACGTTTCATCATCAGACTATTTTGTTCTTAATTGGTTTTATTAATACCTTGTAAAAATTGCAATTTGCTGAGAATTATCAAAATTAAGCTGAATAGGGAAAATATATTTATTAAACTATCAAATAAATACCAAATAACACATTTGGTATGACACCATAAAAAATTAGAAAATGGGGTCACTTCTCATGCACCACCGTGGGCACACTGGCCTCACTGGCAATCCCACACATGTTGTTTTTATTCCTCGCCATCCGAATATATCCTTTATCGCCCCAATCCGAGCCCCAACTGTTTTTCACAATCCAGTAATCCTTACCATTCTCTTTTCCATATCCAACGGCCAGCACTCCGTGATTCAACCAATCCGTCGAACACGATTTGGACTCATAAATTCCACTTCTGAAACAGCGATAATGGGTGCAGTTGATAGAAGCTATAGGGGAATAATTATAACCCAGGTCGTATAGACTGAGCTTAGTATTTATTGTATGCACTACAAGAGATCGTGTTATTTTCAACAAATTATATCCACAATCATCCGTACTTAGGAGGAACTTTGAACAAAATATTGATTGTTATACCATATTTGGATAACATGGGGTTGCGTGGATCAATGCGAAAGTGGATGGCATTTCTTACATGCTGCGAACAACGATAAGCAAAAGGATATGTTGGAACAATCTGGAGACATGTAAGATTATTGTAAACTACCGTATCTCCTCCTACTTGGCGCTGGACGGAAGTGTAGTAGAACAGCGCAACGTCTGATGATCAATGATTGTGGTCCCACTTGTGACGGTAATTGGTCTATCGTGATTTCTCTAATATCAATAAAAGATATTTGTGTAATGCAAACAGAATCAATGTGTTACAAACAAGGGGATGATTTGTTCCAGTGAAATATTTCGTTCTTTTACCTGTACATTTGAAAGTCGTCTTCTACATCAATTGCTACTGAGGCCGGTCCAAATTTACCGATCATTTTCCTCAACTCGTCCTCATTGCCACTACTCACCGTACGGTATCCAGTCACTGTGGCACGAACTTTATTAGGATCATATTGACATCTTCCTTCCTGAGGGAGAGTGAAAAATATGCAATGACCGAAGAGAGCAACAGGAATACACATAAATTAAAACATGATTAGAGCAGGGGAGGTCGGTGGGGGCGATGTTCAGAAGCGTTGTGCTTCGCACTTACGACAGCCTTATATGCGTAATCGTCCTCCGATAGCATTCCATAAGTTTCCATATACTGGAAAGCCCTATTCATGTCACCACCACCACATCCATGATTGCCATATTCTCTACTGCAGTCAACAAGCTGTTGTTCCGAGAAACGAATGGGTTTTCCGTATTTCTTCATATATTGTCCTTCGGCTGCACCACTGGCAGAGAAAGCCCAACAAGAACCGCAGTCCCCCTAAGCAGAAATAAACAGAATATATATTTAATACAACACACAGGGTCTACTCACTTGATCTTTTACTTCACTGACACATCCTGATTCGCGCCAGTCAATCGCATCGGGCACTTTCCCGTAGTTTGCTTCCAACGGTTTTCCTTTAGGGACAATACTTGACCGCATTTCCAACAAGCGCTTCTCTTTGAATTCTTCGAATGTCATATCAGTGAACTGATTTAACCCCAGTGTGTAGGTCACCAAGCCCAGATCGTGACGCAGATTGTGTTCCTTGATTCTTTCAACATTTCGTTCCCAAATAGCTCGTCGAAGTGAGTCTTCCGGTCCGTTGTATTCTTTCTGGTGCGCACGCTTCCAGTGATGCCACAGTTCGTCGTTCGATGCGAGCGCACCGAGTGTGAGTAGTGTGATGATCAACAGTTGCATTTTCACACAACAGTCCATGTTGAGAAGCTGATCTCCGAATTTTTCGACTTGTATAGTTTCGTATTTATATGATCTAAGTGAGTTACAAAGTCCCTTGTTCTGGTTATCAATAATGGGAATCCATACACGAGCTCATGATAAACTCAAAGTTCAATTCACTGCACTTTCATGAATTTGTACGGCGAAAGAACTATGTAATGAATCGACACATTAAAAGTGCTTGCCTTTATTGCTCTGACTCGTTTAGTAAGTTAAAAGGCTGACTGTTCCAGTTTTCAAAGGCAAAGTTTTAGAATAGGTGCTCACACAGAGTGGAATACGAGGATGTGACATGGAGAATCTTTAATTTTACTTATCAACAAATACCAAACTCTCGACACACCTGATCTCGTGACAGATGAAATAACGACCGACAGTAAAACGTGAAATGTCACAATTTGGTTGTATCGCAATTTGGAATATGAAACCGCCAGAGAAACTTAGTATGTGTTTTCAATTCCGTGGTCTTTTCGGGTATACCCCTTCGAGCGATATGTTCTCACTGCGCTGATACTAGGCAAGGCAACAATAAGCAGTCAAACCGACAAAATATCATTTCAGAAATCGGTCACCATTAGGCGAGAGAAAATAAAGCATATCACGGCAAACCAATGCTAATTTGACGTAGTAAACACTGCCGTGACTTGCGAGTTTTACTTCCGCTGTCTTATTACAGCAACGCAAAGTCGAATGAGAGTCTGTTCAAATAGTAATGGATGTTGGCGCTTCCGTATCGATAGTTACCAACAAGAACATGAATAATCTGCCAGGTTAGCTAATTGCCAGTTCAAGTAGAGAGCCAACTAGTCTGACGATTCTCTTATTGTGTAAACGTGCAATTCAAATGCAAAAAACTCAAGCCACCTGATCCTGTGCGGTAGCATTTCAACGCTTAGGTTTGTTAAGATGTAACTGGACAAGTACGTTTCCAAATCCATTAGATACATTGTGCACAAAACTGAATTTAATGTCAACACGTTGATATTTTGATGATGGCTTGGGAAAACTGAAGGGGTTCCAGTTCAGTTCAGATCAGTTTTTACAACTATTAACCATGCACTTTCGTGCGCCGGTGCTGGTTGCTGTCTTCTTGTGCCCCATTTGGATAGAAGAGTAGAACGAAAATTGGAATGTTGAAAGCAAATTCGAGCGGAAGATGGAGAGTTCATATAAAATGATGTTAGGGGAATAATGAGTGGATGCACGAGCGCTACTGTTCGCGACATCCAGCCATATCACTCTGTGTATCTAATCGTTGGTGACCATCATCCCGAGGTCCCCAGCTAGGGAGTCCAACGGGGCCTATGTCACCTAGTTTCCTGGTTGGGGTTTTCACACCCTCATATCAGGCCTTGGCTTGACGACCCTTGGCACTTTTCGAACGGCTACTTGCCTCGGCACACAACGCTTGCCTTGGCAACCTATTTGCTGACATGCGTCAATCATGCCCCAACCAACGTAATCCATGGAGGTGGACCACTTGCTTCAGTGGACGACTGCAACTGCCTAAAGCTCTACGCCTAATCTCAGCATTGCTAGTCCGGTAACCCCACTACACTCGTGCAATGCGACGTAGTCAGCGGTGTTCGAACACCGACAACCTACTTTTATCTTGTTCCCATAGTGGCCAAGTCTCTGCACCGTATAGGAGTACTGGTCGAACTGCTGCAGCATATACTCGACCCTTCACAAACAGCCGGATGTCACGACGGCGCCACAAATGTCTCAAGTTGGCAAATGCCAACCGAGCCTTTTGTATGCTCGTCGACACTTCATTTATGATGCCTCGGATAGGTGAGATATAGCTGCCCGGATAACAAAATTTTTCTACATACTCCACTACTTCCCCAAGCAGGGTGAGAGTGAGTGCTGGACAAACCCAATCTTGGAGTAACATTTTACACTTTGAAGGTGCAAAACGCATGCTGAACATTTTACACTGGCACTCAAACTATCCAAAAAAGCTTGCAACTTGCCTGGATCTTCACTTAGTAGCACAATGTTGTCTGCATACTCTAGATCAGACAGTTTGCCACCTGGAAGCCAATCGATACCGCTATCGTCCCACGAGGATAGGGCTGTTTCGAGGATTAAATCAATCACGAAGTTAAACAGAAACGGAGGAAGAGGCCAATCCCGTCGAACACCACTTTCTGTGGTGAACTCGGGTGAAAAAATGCTGTAAGCTCGGACTCGGCTCCAACAACGACGACAACAACAAAGTGTCTCATTTGGAACCAGTCTTCAGAATTCCCACACGCACACAGGGTAGTTAATGGAACGGTCTAGCAGTAGATGCGCATTCCTGTAGTTACCATACTGAACACAGTAATTCTCTCCAACATGTCTTGTTTACGTTTGACCGTTGGAAATAAAACTACCACTCATATAATTTTCCGAATTCGTCCACAAATGTGAGCAATACCTCACAACAATGCGAATGGGGGAGCACAGATATTTCCCGTGTGCAAACCCGATGATTCTATTCCAGTTTGTGGTGAATATCGGCTCACTTTGAACGGTTATCACACCTGGAAGTAGTATGTTCGAACACTTGTAGAGAAATTGAATGTAACATTAGAATATGGTCCAGAATTCACCAAAATTGACTTCAGTCATGCGTACTTATGAACCAAACTAGACTAATTTCCTTGTTTATCTTTTGGATTTAACTCTGCCTCAGCCAGTTTTCAAACAGTTATTGATATCTTAATCAAAGAAATTCCATTTATATTTGTGTATCTTGAGGACAATCATATTTCTGGTGGTGCACAACAAGAAGTTGGCAAAATCTAAATGCAAGTTTCTCTGTGATTCTTTTTGTTATCTTTATTATCGTCTTAATGACAACGGACTACAAAGCACAGAATGTAAAGCGAAATCCATTTGAGGCGCAAGAGAGCTTCGTTCCTTCTTTGGTATCCTCTCTCACTACCAGAGATTTCTCGCGAATAATAATTCCTAAATTCTCGAACAATTTTATAGCTTGTTACCAAAATGTTAACCACAAAAGTGAGACCGCTCACGTGAACCAACTTCACACGGTAGTGCACTTCTGTTAGAATCATTATCATTTTTGGCACATATCAACCCCATTTAACCCATATTGATATGCTGTGAGTGCTTACGGAAGATACTTTTACCATATGTCTCGGTTTAGTAATGTAATCACTGACGCATTGAGTCAGTTCTCCATTACCAGCCAAAGAAGGCTGCATGTACCACCCGAGTTGATTAATTTCATACAATAACTGAATACTGCCAAAATTGGAAGTACAGAAATTCAGCGAGTGGTGAGCACGGGTAGAACGGAAATAAAAAATTGTACCCGTGAGATGGCCATTCAAGGTCCCTCAATGAAGTGAGATACATTTTACAAAGTAGAATGAACTCAATCTAGACAATGTTTGTTGTTTCTGGGACAGCCAGATAGTTGTACCTTGATAGATGCCTCCACATCTGTTATGCGAACTGCAAGTTGCTCTTCTTGGTGTAACCTTAATGAGAAACACAGCACGGGGACACTGCTGGAGGCCAAAAATGGATAAAGAATTTGCAGATTTACCGCAAATAGTCGACGTTTGCCCAAAATACCAACACTTCTGTGCTCTCCAGGTTATTTCCCTCAGATAAACCTTGGTAGAGGATATACAGGGATAAACCATATCTATTGTGTTCACCTATTTTAATGAGTTTCGAATAACCGGTGATTTGCACAACCTGACAGAATTCTCGTCGGTAGTGGAGTGCACTGCGCTTCTGCAATGCAACAGGGAAACACTTAAGCAGCATCAGTAACCCCGACATTGTATTCCAGTTCGCAAATGCAAATGCGATTTTCAAATTCATGACTAAATTCACAGCTGCCTCGTTCGATCAACGGAGATATGATGCTCTATCCAAGTGGCGGTAACCAATACTGACCAATCCCGCCTTCATCTCTGACGCACGAAGATGCAATCTATTATTCGTCACCCCCTCAACTTCATAATCTGAAGCTCTCCAAAGTGCTGTTTGGTCTCGTTTCTTCTTTTCAACTTACTTACCCATTACTCAACAAGTAGATTGATGATGTTATCTTTGATTTACCCTATCCCATTAAATTCCTTTTGAGGAGATGTATCCAAATAACTGCTTGAAAGTTCGAAATGGCATGAAACTTCAATTCGCGATGAAACCATGAAAATAGGTCATTGTTTGAGGAGTGCAAAATGTTTGGGCCCATTGACGGAACTCACTGTGCATTTTGGTAGTAATGACGAGGGTGATGAACCACAATATCTTCCGTTCTAGTAATTCAGCTCAACAACAACAACAACAAGGGTTCTCAACAATCACGTGCACGCACACACACACACACACATACACTAAGAGACCCTATCATGTTTAATGTTTCTCGTACGCGACCCGATGACAGTAGGTGTGGTGTTTGTCTTACACTTTGTCTGTTCAAATTCATTGCGGAATATAACAACTTGTTAATTATATGATTATCACCTGTGCCCGCGGGACTCTTGCTGATGATTTTTGGATGGAACGTGGATTTGTATTTCAATCATCATATTCAAAGTTGAACGATGTAACTTGTTGAAGGAAATAGCTTGAGGTAGCTCAACCACCGCAGTTCCAGATGGCCCCAGAGACGAATCTTGGTGGACAATTACTACCCACTTACAAGTAGTATAAAAGAGTTCACGGCAAAGGTGCTAATCTCATGTGAGTAATGAAAGGTAAAATTAGCCGTGGTCATAGCAAATGAAGCGTGAACTGAAAAGCAAGGAAGCACTGGGACAGCTTCTTCAACCTGGTGGGTCTCATCAGCATTGCAAATCCATCGACCCCATTGGGGACCGAACCCGGGACCCCATGGGCAGGACGCAAGCATGCTACCCACTCGGCCATCGGGCAGCCCATCACAG